CGGGTTTAGAGAATTTCTAGATTTATTTTTTATTTTTTGTGGTCCCAGGGATCGAACTCATGACCTTGCGCTTGCCAGGCAGGCACTTATGCCACTGAGCTATATCCCCAGCCCCTGAATTTCTAGATTTATATCTTCAAAAGTTTTGTTCTGTTCCATTTTCTGGGATTTAAATTTCTGGGATTTAAATTTCACACGTGTCCCTCTGTCTCTTATGTTATTTTTCTCTCTGTGCCTCACTTTGAGTGTTTTTTTGTGATTTATATTCCAGATCACAAATCATGTGTTCAAATGTTAAATTTACCTGTTGAGTTCTCAACATCAGATGTATGTGTCTTAGGAATATCCATTTGATTCCTTCTTATAGATTCCAGATTTGTGGTGTTTTCCCCTTTGCTTTAACCTGTGCTTTATTCCACTTCCTTGATCCTGTTAAGTGAAGTTATTTTAAAGCCCTTGTATGCTAACTCAAATATCTGGACCCTTGTATTTTCTTGTTGATCGTCAGTTACACATATTTGTTTTTCTTTTTCTTTTTGGTACCCGGAATTGAACTCAGGACCTTGTGCTTGCCAGGCAGATGCTGTGCAACTGAGCTAAATCGCAGCCCCATACTTGTTTTCCTAAAGGTGTAGTGAGTTTTTAAATTGTAAATCTGGGGTAATGTATAAACGCGGCTCCGGGTAGTTGTTCTGCTGTGCGCTTCCCCTTCTCTGGGTCAACCAGATACGTTGAGGACTGACTGTAACAATTCAGTGTGAGGCTAGGGTGGGTCGGTGGACTGCACGCTTAGTGAGGCCCGCTCAACTTCGGCACACCCTTGTTGCTCGGCAAGGCCCTCATGGAGCCTGAGAGCCTTGAGCATTTCAATGCGGAGACTCAGCGTGTCCTGAAGCTGCATCTGGTCCTGTTCCCCGCTCCATGCCTTATACCTTCAGAATCTGGCAGGTGTCTAATGAGAGAACAGCTGTGTGTGTGAAGAGAGCTTGGTTCCTCTGGTTGTTTTGTCTCCTGTGAGACTCCAGGAGACGTCCCTTTGTCTTTTGAAAAGTATTTCTCCATGGCGGATAGGGGTGACAACCTGTGTTTGAAGCCCTGCAATTTTCCATTTTGTCACCCCAGCTCAGCTGACTCCTGCAAGCCTTTCTGATGTCTTTTCTCCCTCCACAGGTCTCTGCCTGGGCCAACCTGACTCTCACTCAGAACCAGGAGATGGCCCTAGAGGAAAACACTGGCTGGTTGTGTTGTAGTTTTTGGAGTGGTTCTTCTCCTGAGTATTTTAGCTTATTTAAGCTTCACTTCTTTTATGGTTCTCTGATGTCTTTAGGGCAATTAAGTTTTTTTTTTTTTTTCGTATTTTCTGATTTTTGTAAGTTACCTGGATTTACCCAGTTTTGCAGTGGGGGTGTTGATTTACTACATCCTACCTCGAAGCTTCTCGACCTTCCAGTGTATCAGCATGTTTTTGTACAAATGCCCGAATGACTCCTTGATTGGTGAAAATCAACCTAAGAGATTTAGCTTTCCTCATGCTGAATGACAAAAGCTCTTATTCTTCCATCAAACAAATTGAATTTCTATAAAATTAATAAAAACAAATGCTCCCTTTGGATAAAGATGAAGCATCAGTTAGTACTATTAACTCTGATCTAATAAATAAGTGTTGGTCTCTCCTGGTTAAACATAATACAAAGAGATACAGTGAGCGACAAAAAGGAGTCTTTAAACAAAAGTTAGTCTGATTTATGTGCTTTTGGAAGTTTATGATCTTTTTACTCCAAGTCTTTTGGGCCTTGTTCAAGATTATTATTCCTAGCGATGGTTCTGTATATTAATTAATGACAACCTGTTTTCTCCTTACATCTTTAGGAACATTTTAGTCCTCTGGAAATATCTGTGATACCAGATTTTGAACTTCTTTATCCGATGTGAGTATTAAGAGAGGCTGTTTCTCTTGGGTCATGGGAGGATTATTGCCAGCTTTACTCTTTCCTTTCTGGAACCCCCATTGGGGTGGGATTAACATTTTGCAAGCTGTTAATATGGCTTTTGGTGGGGGGTCTGGAGGGCATGGCACTTCACCTCCTCATTTCTCTCAACAATGCCATAAGTAGGAATTATCCTCCTCACTTTGCAGAAGCAGGGACAGAGCCTCAGAGTGGATAAGCAGCTTTTGCAGTCACACTGCCAGGCAGCTCATGTGGGGAACACACTGAGAACACCCGAGACCCAGTTTCCTCCACAGAAATGCTTGACTGCAATGTGTCCTTAGGTCCTGACTATGTTGTAAGACAAATCAGATAGCTAGCAACTGTCATGGTGGAACTTAAACCCATTTGCTGCTTCCAGATAGAAATTTTAAAGGACACTAAGGGTGTAAGAAACCAAAGATAGGAAATGATGTCCTAAGAGAAACATTTTTCCTTCCTTTTTTGTGGTACTGGGATCAAACCCAGGGCCTTGTGCCTGAGAAGCATGAGCTCTACCACTGAGCACCAGACCCCGTCCTGGAAGATAATACCCTAAAGATAGGACTTGAGAAAGTCAGTTGAACTGTCTGTCGGTTTCCTAAGCTGCAGATTGTGCATTAGTTCTCCACGATATTTGTAGTCAAGATGCACACACACAAAGAGTGGCATAACTGATCTTTGCATATGTGGAAAGAAGGCAAGAATTTCTGGCAAGAACAAGAGTGTTCTGTATTTCCTGGTTTTTTTTTTATTAATAATTATACATACTATTTCATAAGACAATGAGAATTAGATTGTGCTCAACCTTCCCTCAAGGCATTCTTAACTGAGAAGTTTCTCTGTGAGTACAGAACTGAAATCTGTAGTACAGAACCTGAAATCACTTATGGAGCTGATCTATAACTGACATTCCTTATTTATTCATCATTTGAAGCATTCTTGGCTAATTGTCATCCACTGTTGATGGCTTTAGCCATTGTGTGCAGACCTATTCCTTCTGGAGGCGTCTCTGTTTCAAAGGTTGCCATCTCTTTTGTATTGGTGTCTCCCAAAGCAAGATCCCCTCTCCTCTATTCTGACCCTACGCTGCCAACTTCTCATGGAACAATATCTCAACGTCTACCCCCAGATCAAGATGGGTGTAATGCTCTGACACTAGCTCTAGTTCCTGTCCACGGACTGATCATTCCTGATTTACGCACTAGACACCTTAAAGCGATCTTTCTCTAACTCGATTCCAGCATGGGTTCTTTACAAAGCTTGTTTCTTTACTTCCAATGCCATCTACCTTCACCCTTCTGCCAACCAAGGTACTGTGCCCTCTAACTCAGACACCTGCTGTGGTTTTCAACATATTTCCAGCTGTCGATGCTGCACCCAAACTAGACTCATTGCCTTGGTCCTTGCTTCTCTTACCTGGATTTCTCCTACAGCTGTCTAATGCCTCCCAACTCATATGTTGCCGTACTTGGATCCCTTTTTACATTGCCATGGGAGTTGTCTTTCTAAAGCTCAGTTCGTTCTGAAGCCAAATGGGTGACCTAATCAAGTCTGACTCCTTGGCAGAGCATCCAGAGCATTTCATGGCTGATTTCCCCATCTGGTCCACAGCTATGTGAGGGTCAGGTTCTGGGACACATGTTGAGCATTTACTGCCACACCCAGATCCAACTTAGTCTGCTGCCTTCTCAGCTCTCCACGCTCATCTTTGCATACTACTGTACCATCTATCGTGCTGTCTGCCTTACTAGCTTGCAGTCATACTGGCCAACTTGCTGACTTCCTGTATGTTCTTTCCAGGTATTAGAATGTCCTGCATTTTATCAGTGTATCCACTATTCAGTTTAGATATCCACTCTCTCTGAAGTCTCTCTCCCAACACCACTTCTCAGGGTGGACGAGGGGCTCCTCTGGGTTTGGCCTCATCAGAATAGGTGTGATGTTCCACTGTGGTTTTCTGGTTACTTGATTAAGTCAGGGGCCAAGTGACCACAAGGACTCCCCACATATGTGATTACCCAGCATAGGGAGACTGGGCCCTGGAGACCTTAGTTCACGCCTTACTGCTGAGTACGATGATGAATACCTATAAATACTTACCTTGAGACATAAAGACCAAAACTGACTCTGTAGCTATAAGCACTTTGCTTTTAGGAATGGTAGGGAGAATGAAACTTCTTGCACATTTGACATAGCAGATATCTCAGCTTAACATTGTCCAAAACTCCCCTCTGAACACTCGTCTGAATTAATGGCAAATCCCTGAACTCTGTATTCACACTATAGAGGACATTTCTAGAACCAGAGCCTTTTTAAAACCCACCCCTGTAATTGTTCCAAGCCCCTGAATTACTAGGAGTCTCCTAAGAGGGCTCCCCTTCTGCCGTGGTTCCCTGCAGTCTGGTCTCAGAGCAGAGGATGCCCGTGGCACTTTGAACTCTGCTTGCTTTCTGCATCAGCATGCCAGCCCCAGGAAGACAGGTTTTAGCTGGTTTGCTCTGGTCTTCCCAGCATCTAAAGCAGGGACCGGCACCTGGCCGTTGCATTATTAGGTTTTGAATGAACAGCAGGCGTTGTGTTGTTATGAAGCAGCTTCCATGTCTTTCCATGGAAACATCTCTTAATAAGATAAAAGCCAGGGGGCAATTCAATGGTCAGGGTCAGTGGTGTCCTGTGGGACTTTCCTTCAGCTTGTATCACATCACAGAGCTCTCTGTTCCAATGAGAACATGGCTCTAATGTGAAAGCCACCAGCCTGGCTTCCTAGCTGGGTGCCCGCACAGGTAGAGAACAGGGAGCTCACTGCTCTGACCCCTACCTGGACATGTTCATCTTTTCACAGAGACCCAAGAATTCCCAGACTGCGATACTACTAACTCAGGATTTATGTTTATATATTTGCTTCCCTGGTCCCATTCGCTTCTATTCTCCCCAATAACACCATATGGTGTGCCAGAAAATATGTAGAAATATAAAAATATATTTGTAACTGAAATGCGTACCCTCGATCGTCTTTTTCAAAGTACTCACCACTGTCGATCGCCAGGAAGAGGGCCGTGTACACGCTGTTGTGGACGAAGGGGGACTCGCGGTCCAGCACAGCAGCGGTGTCAACAGTCCCATTGATGGGGTTAATATTCAGCCAGCCTGCTGGATCCTTGTAAACAGAATACCTGGAAAAAAACAACCCCAAACTATGTCAGACTGCATTTAAATTAGAGACAAACAATGTTTATTGAGTCTGGGGCACCCTTACCTATGCTAGGGTCCGGGCCGTGCTTAACACAAACGCTAAACATTACTACAGTCTCAGTTCTCATTTGGAGAGTGACAGCTGACCGTCCACCTGAGCCTGCTCTGTGTTGAAGGGTCTGCACATGTGCCCCCTTTCCTCTCTCCTCAGGACAAGCCTACGCGGAGGATGAGGCTGAGTCTCAGCCCATCTCTTTGGTCCAGTCTGGTTTCTCTTACATCTTGAATGCACCCTGTATGCAGACTAAGTAGGGGAAGCGCTGGGGTGAAGGCGTAGGCTGGGAGGATACTTGGAAACATCACCTCTGATTGAGGGTAGCCCTGGGGACTGCACAGGGAACGCAACATCTGTTTTTTTTTTTTTTTTTTTTTTTTTGGTTTTTCTCTGGTACCGGGAACCAAACTCATGACCTTGCGCTTGCCAGGCAGGCGCTTTTGCCGCTGAGCTAAATCCCCAGCCCCTCGGGAACGCAACATCTGAATCGAGACAGGAGGAATTGAGTTGCGGTGCTGTCAGAGTGAGGGGTGAACAGCATGAGTTAACTCCTGGAGAGACACTAGGGTGCCACTTTCACAAGGGCAAGGACGTGTGTTTGTTCATAGTCATAACTCCAGTTCCTAGAGCACTGCTTAGCACGTACATGACACTCAGTAGATACTTCCTGAATCAGTGCAGGTGCAGGATTGGATACAGACACTGCGGCCTTGAACATAGCTTCTTCAAGGGGAATGGAAAGTAAAGAAGTTTGGAGAAGCAGAGGAGGCCAAATTACAAAGAACTGAAGCTTTATTATAAAGGGATTGGACTCTGGATAACAGGAAGCCATCAAAAGGTTTAAAAATGTTACATTTTTTTGAGGTTGTTGTGAAAGTAATACATGCTCTTTGTTCAAGTTGAAACCACAGAAAGAGGCATAAAGTAACAGTGAAAGTCTTCTCTGGCAGGCAGCCTTTAACTGAAAGGCTCAGCTCTCACCGGTCTGGGAGGCTTGAGTACCAATGTGCCCTTGTGGTAGAAGCCAGAGAGATGCAAGTTCCTGCTTTCCTACCATTCCCCACCTCCCTGGAGAGACACAGACACGCACAGCTCACTGGTTTGCTAAGATGCCCAAAGTGGATCATCTTCGCCCTGTATGGCTAGCTTTGGTTCTAAGGATGTTTAAAACTTGACTTAACCAACAGGATTACAAATCTCCAGTGAAGAGCTTATGAAAAATTCCCACCCTAGTCCTCACAGTGGAAAGAGTACCCACGTCCTCATCCCAGAGCTTGTCAGTGTTCCCACTTAGGGCAACGACTTCGCATATCTGATAGAAGATCGTGAGATGGGAGGCTTTTGGCTTCCCTGGGCTCTGTGGGTGCTGAATGCAATCACAGGTGTCCTTATAAGAGGACAGCAGAGATATTTGAGACACATAGAGGAGAAGGCCCCATGACCCTGAAGGCAGAGACTAGACTGGTCTAGCCACAGGCCAGGGGCTTCTGCAGCCAGGAGAAGCTGGAAGAGGTGGAACAGATTCTCCCCTTGAGCTTTTGGAGATAGTGTGGCCTGACTGACACCTTGCTTGACCTGGTGAGACTGATTTTGGACTTCTGGCCTCCGGAACTGTGGGAGAATGCATTTCCGACAACCAAGTTTGCAGCGGTTTGTTAAGGTTGCATCATTAAATGATCTCAGTGGGTATAACATCCCCATTTACAGATGAAGAAACTGAGGCACAGATTACACAGCTGCTCAAGTCACAGAGTCAGGATGTGGGCCCTGGGTGGTCTGATCTCAGAGCCTCCATTCTGAACTCCATATTAGCCTACCTCCCACCACCTTACTTGCTCAAGGTGCTGGTCAGAAGATAGTTTTTTAGAAGTTGATGCTGAATTTAAAGAAGACACTGACTTGAGGAAAAGCTGCCTCTGATTACAGAATGAGGATGAGACTGTGTGATGGGAGATTGCTCAGGGGGAGGAGTTCTCAGAAGTGCAGGGGAGGGAGCCGCAGTGGTCCCTGCTCATGACTTGGAGGGGATCTTGGGGGCTGCGATGTGACTGCCTCTTGGGAGGCCGTGGTCAGTGGAAGCAGCGATGGTCCACCTGGTTGTCAAGAGTGGGAACCAGGGATGAGAAAGGTTGGACTATCAATGGGGAGGGGTGTGTCTCCAGTGGCCATGAACCACCTGGCATCCCAGGGCAGGTGACACTTTACCCGAGGCCCTGGCCTGACCACCAGAGACCTTCACTCCCTCCAGCACTGGCAGCCAGGCTAGTGGCCTGGGGTCTTCCCAAGGGGATGCGCCACAGCAGCATGGTCGTGCTGACCCGTAGAGAGGCTCTGTGGCTTTGTACCCATCTCTCTAGCATGGGAGAGACATGAACTGAACTGTCCTGGCAAGGTCCTGCGGCTCCCTGGAAAGTGCCTGGTCTTGTCTTTCTCATGCAGCTGCGGGGGCATGGTGCCTTTCAACAGCCACCATCCTGAGGGCAGCCACCAGCATCTCATTGTGCCATGCATCAGGCACAGTCCCTGGGTCCAGATGCTGCTTTGGCAGTCCTTGCTCCAAGCCTGCGGGGTCAGTGATATGTGTACTTCCCTCTTACTGATGAGCAGGACACTGAGCAGGACCCTGTGGTGCTGCAGGTCGGGCCACCATGTCAGGGGCTCACTGGGGCAGCAGCCAGTGTGTCCTCTTTTCCCGGTCTCGCACCGTACCTGGGCTGTTTCGTAAATAGCCAGCCTGGCGGAGCCCTGTGAACAGCATCTGCAGCTGCCGCAGTGCAGGGACAGATGCAGAGAGCATGGGGTCCCGCGGGGCAGCCCACCCCCTTACTGCCTCAATTATCATCTCAATAATTTTTAAAAACAGAAGAGACACACTGCTCCTGAGAAGCAGCTGCTTTAAGAACACCAGGCTTTCATTTCAATAGTAATTTACACTTCCACTTGGCAAGCTCCCACTATTTTTCAAGACCCCACTCAAATGTCTTCTCTTTGTCACCCTGTGCGACTTCCCAGGTAGAATTAATCACCCTCCACTAGGTCCTCGCTGAGCACACGCATAAATTCAAATTCTGGCTAGAGCATAATATGAGCCTTATGGATCTGCCAACTTTGCTGAACTCTAAATTCCTTGGTGTCAAGATGAAGTAAACGTTGGCTAAAATAAGCAAAGAATGCTTACTTTGCCTGGCTCAGTGCTGAGCTGTATGTGTGCTACTACATTCGTTTTCATGACCCACAACAACCTGATGAAGTGGGTACCGTCGTTGTTTTAAAGGTGAGGTAACCAAACATCAGAGAGGCTTAGCCACTTGCCAAAAGCAGCCCAGCTCAGGGCTGGTGGAGCTGGAGCTCAGCACAGATGTGTGGGGTTGCAGGGACCAGACCTTGGCCAGCGTGCAGTATATGCCTTGTGCCGTGGCCGGGTGAGTGGATGGCCTGACACACGGTGGAGGCCCAGGGAAGGCTTACTGCATCTTTTCACTTTCAGTTGGAAACATCCTGGAAAGGGAAAATGCAAAGAAAGGTGACCTTTGTTTCCCAGTTTATCAGGTAACAGGGTCATAAGTGAACCAGGGATGATTTGTGGTGGTTCAATAGATTTGAAATAATGAAAAATTTAAATGGACCATATTTTATGCCCTGATTATTCAAAGTAGTTTTCATATTGGTGTGCAAGCAGTGCTCTTGATTTCTCACTCTGTTACTTCTTCGTTTGTTTGTTTGTCTTATGATGCTACAGTTTTGCAGCACAATCAATGTGTCTGCTTCCTCTCTTGAATAAAGTGTCATTATGTTCAGATCAGTGCCGGGACTGGAATGTGGATGCTACACTCTGACAGCACCATCCTGGCCACTTATGCTTGTGCATGTCACAGTCACTATTTTTCTTCCTTAAAAAATAGCCAGGTACCCATAGCTCTGCTATGTGTGTGACTCAGGACCATTCAAGTTTGCTTTTTTCTCTCTCTTTTTTTTAATTTGGTACCTCTTCTGGAGGACACCGAGCAGAGGTGTCCTTGACCACAGGTGCCCTCGAAGCCCACCCTGCTGCCCCTCCTCAGAACCACACCCCCAGGCACAAGGGCAGAGGGTCTCCAGGGCTGAGTGTGCCCAGCGCCATGCTGGCTCGCACTACACACTGGTCCAAGCTAAGAGCTGGGGGGCTCTGAATAGCAGGTGCGTCCTTCCTGACCTGGAGGGGACCAGGGCTCAAGCCCACAGCCAGCCTGCTCTTCTGCTGCCCAGCTTTTGAATACTTTTGTCAAATCAGCCTTTTTGACCAACTGGCTGGGCACACTATGTAAATTTCTGACATTTTCAAAGCTGTCTTTTTAATAAGCTTTTCAGTATAAAAATACCAGTGTGCAAGATATGTTCTGTGCTTTTAGGCCTGAAAATGTATATGCCTTATTAAATTGGAATTTCTGGGCGATTTATCTATAATGTGAACTTTGCTGGTTACAGGAGAGGAAAAATCAAATTAAAAACTGAGCTCATTTCAGTCTGTAATGCAAATTCACAGAGCTGCTCAGAGTCTTGCCGGGACCCGGCCTTGCCTGGTCGCTTGTGTTGGGAGGGGTGGGGCAGACTGATGGGCAGGATCCTTAGGCACCTTCCTCCTTGCTGAGACACAGTGCCTGACACCCACAACGTAATCAAGTC